TTGAGGCTCTGTCTCAAAAAAAAAAAAAGAAAAAGACAAGCTAGTATATGACTTACTGTGAGAAGAAGGACATCGCTTCCCATTATATGCAAACCTGCTTAACGTCATGTCAAAATCAGAAATCACCTACAAGGTAAAAGAGAAAGGAGGCCTAAATAGGCACCTCATTCCTCCTGTGGCCTTGCCTCAGCCTGGGGGAATTAGGGAGGGACAGAGAGGGACAGGGAAGAAGTGATCCTAATTAGTACACATTAACCCTGAGAAAAACCTAGTGGGAGGGGGGAGACTCAGGACCCCTCTGAATCTTTCAATAGCACCCATCTCAATGTCATGTGGTCATTTCTACGGGATCTTCACTGTTACAACCCATCTCCACATCCTTGACTTCTTGGGGAGCGCACTAGTCTGAAGTAGTGTAGGGATAAGGCCCCAGGTCCCGGTGTGGGGTGCCTTCTGCCTTAAGTAGAGAAGGTAGCATGACCATATTGAGAAATCTGAAATCTAGGTTTTAGGGCAGGTGGGATCTCCTTCAAGGTGAAACATGAGGCCCAACCTGCTTGCCTTCAGACCTGTGGCCCTTTCTGCAGGTGTCCGCTGCAGGAAGACCCAATGGGCAGGAAACCTCCCCAGCGCCCCAGACCCGCCTGGCCCAATCTCAACCCGGCGGTACCTGTAACCGGTCTCCCCCGCCCCTGCGGAGGGCGCCGACGATCTCCTGCACCCGCCCGGGCTGCCGCATCAGAACCGAGGCCTTCATCAGGGTGCTCACCTGTCCCGAGACCCGAGAGAAGGGCTGACCCAGCGCCGTGCTGGGCCCAAGGGGAGCCCGGGGCTCGCTCGGGCGCCCCTGCGAGGCGGGGCCGGGGTGCGCGAGGGGACGGCTACTGGCTGTGGGGGCGCGGCAGGGCTTCGGCTACCCGCTGGGGGCCTCCGAGCTCCCCAGGGATCCGGGCCCGCCCCACGCCAGACTCTTCTTCCCGCCTCACCTCTTCAGCCATGTCGCTAGGAACCAGTCGGTGGCGCGGAAGACAACGACCGCCCGGCGGCAGCACTGCGCAGGCGTCGCCTCCCGCGCGGGGGGCGGGGCGGACAACGAGCGGGGCGGGGCCGGGGCGGGGCCCGGCCGCCCGGGGCGGGGTCGGGGATTGAGTGTGCAGGGAGACGCAGGTGGCCTTGGCAGACTCCACCTGTGGGCTAGGTAGAGAAACTTGTGGCAGGTTCTATTGTGAGGAGAAGGGTAAGGGTCCCAAGATATTGGGGCTACGTGGGTAGGTGGACTCCTGCCAGTCTTTCTGGAGCAAATAGGCTGGCAAGAATGATCATTTCCTGGCTTAAAGTTCTGTGACAGAGGCACTGCTGGATGGGAGGGGATATGAAGGGGCCATAGAGTGAATCTGTTAAACCTCCAGAAGATGCTTCTGGATTAATTGGGACCACTCTTTATTCCAGGAGAAACTGAGTGACTAACACATCCAGGGGGCTGGAAGACACTGGACAGCTGGACCAGTATGAAATTTAATCAGCTTTACTTCTCCCTCTGTGTCTTCTGACTTGTATTTCCTTGAACTCAGTGTCTGAGGAGCCAAGTGTGGAGCTATGGAAGGTAGATGGGTGCTTCAGGGATTCGGACTTGGGCAACCTGAAGTGAGCAACAGGAACTGCAATCAATAAAAACTCTTATTGGATGTTTGTGGTCACAGCTCTATTGTGGGTTTGAGAACAAGAAGGAGGTGTGGGGTGGTCTTCAGGCTGAGTGGAGTGGTGGAGGAGGGGAGGAGGAAGTGGGAGGGTCAGGAGGGAGTTCCAGAACCTGAGAGCACAATCCTGAGTGATCTCACTGCTGGCCCAGGATTCTGGAACTTGGGCTGCCTGATGGGCCCTATATGAAAGATGTAGTAGGGAAAAAGGAGCGACAGCTGGCTAAAGGGGCCCCCCAGAACCCTCCCCGACACCCTAGGAGAGCGGCCTCCCTCCGCTGGTCCCAGGGTGCCATGGAGATGGAGAGCACGACGGCCTCCACACGTTTCCACCAGCCTCACATGGAGAGGAAGATGAGCGCGATGACCTGTGAGATCTTCAACGAGCTTAGGCTAGAGGGCAAGCTCTGCGATGTGGTCATCAAGGTCAATGGCTTTGAGTTCAATGCCCACAAGAACATCCTCTGTAGCTGCAGTTCCTACTTTAGGTATAACAAGGTTACCAAACTAAGCCAAAAGGGGAATTGGGCCTATTTTGAGACTTTTTAAAAATCCGTTTTCTGGTTCTGTAAGCTTAGGAACACTGTCAAAGCTCTGGGCTCCTTCAGACTGCCTTGTTTGTCTTCTGAAGAGACACAGCTAAGATCAGAGCCTCTTTGTCTCTGATCTTTCAACTGGATTTCAGCCAACTGTTGGTGGGCCAGATGCTTTCATCTTTCTTTGATTCTCACCCAAACCATACTTTGAGAAGCTTGGACACCCCTACTGAATTTCTTTCTTAAATCCAAATGACAATGCTACTTCAGGCACCCCTATCACTCCTATCCCAGGAGAGATTGTTTCAAACAGGGTGATAAATTAACAAGGATTGAGGGGCTGGGAAGGGGGATGAGGAGAAAGTACTCAGCAAATAGTTTATCAGAAGATAAAGGGAGTTTTGACCAAAACCATTCTAACCCAGGAAGTGAGAGGGCTATTTCGTTCATGAGCTGAAAATGTTTGAGTAGACAATTCCAATGAAGATATGATAAATATGTACCACATGTTGCTAAAAACTTGTACTCATCCTAAAGCAGGATTCACAACAAGACAAACTGGTACATTTTTATTTAATTTTTGAGACAGGGTCTTGCTCTGATGCCCAGACTAGAGTGCAATGGCATCATCATAGCTCAGTGCTATCTCACATTCCTGGGCTCAAGGGATCCCCCTGCCTCAGCCTTCTAAGTAGTTGGAACTATAGGCACATGCCAATGCCCACATCTAGTTTTTCTATTTTTTGTAGAGATGAGGTCTCTCTCTTGCTCACATTGGTCTCAAACTCCTGAGCTCAAGCAGTCCCCCTGCCTCACCCTCCCAATGTTCTAGGATTACAGGCCCAAGCCATCAGGCCCAGCTCAGATAGTAAATATTTTAAGCTTTGCAGGCCATCCAGTCTCTTACAACTATTCAACTCTGTCATTATACTGCAAAAGCAGCCATAGACAATACTAAATAAATGGGTATTGCTGTATTGCAATAAAATTATCTATGGACACTGAAATTTAAATTTATATAACTAACAGAGATCACAAAATATTCTTTTGATTTTCCCCCAAACATTTAAAAATGGAAAAAACAGGCTTGGCGTCCATAGCTCAGTCAGTAGGGCGCCAGCCACATACACAAAGGCTTGTGGGTTTGAGCCTGGCCCTGGCCTACTAAACAGCAATGACAACTGCAACCAAAAAATAGCTAGGTGTTAATGGCAGGTGCCTGTAGTCCCAAGCTACTTGGGAGGCTGAGGCAAGAGAATCAGTTAAGCTCAAGAGTTTGAGGTTGCTGTGAGCTGTGATGCTACAGCAATCTACTGAGGGCAACATAGTAAAACTCTGTCTCAAAAAAACAAACAAAAAAATGGAAAAAATATTTTAAGCCCTACTCACTGAGTTAAAGCAGTATGAAAGCAAGAAGTGGGCTGAAGCTGGCCTAGAGGCTGTAGGTTTGCAGACCTAAGTTCTAGAGGAAGAATTTCCTTAAACATCTTAGAAAAAGGAAACAAAACATATAAGGGACTCTGTCTTCTTCAATACCTAGAAAAGTACCTTGCTGTCTGGTAGGTATCCAATAGCTGTGGTATGGAAGTCATTTATTTATTCAATAATTATTTCTTGAGTGCCTGTTTGTTGACAGGCACTATTCTGGATGGATACAGGAAAGAAAACAATAAAAGGATGAACATTCCTGTTTTCAGAAACCTTATGAGGCGCTAAATGAGTCAAATATATGCCAGATCATCACACGTGCTAGGGAAGATAAAAGGAAGATAGGGAGTAGTGGATGGGTGCCAGTGTTAAATAGGATGGTCAGAGAAAGCCTTGCTGACAAAATGACATTTGAGCAAAGACTTCAAGGGAATGAAGGAGTGAGAAATATGGCGATCTGAGGCAGCCTTCCAGGCAGAAGGAACAGTGAGTACAAAGAACCACAGGTGCAAGCACCTCTAGTGTGCTCAAGGAATAGAAGGGAGGCCAGGAGGAGGCTGGAGGGAGAAGGTGAAAGAGAATACAGTTAGGGAGGTATTAGTGAGCCAGATCTCAGAGGGTTTTTGTGGTCCCTGGTACAGAATTTGTATTTCACTCTTAGTACAAAGAGAAGTCACTGGAAGGTTTTTTGTTTTTGTTTTGTGAGACAGTCTTACTTTGTTACCCTGGGTAGAGTGCCATGGCATCACAGCTCACATCAACCTCAGAATCCTAGGCTCAAGTGATTCCCTTGCTTCAGCCTCCACGTAGCTGGGACTACAGGCACCTGTCTCAACACCCAGCTATTTTTTTTAGAGACAGGGTCTCTCTTGCTCAGGCTGGTCTCCAACCCATGAGCTCAGGCAATCCATCCGCCTTGGCCTCCTAGAGGGCTAGGATTACAGGCTCAAACTCTTGAGCTCAAACAATCCTCTTGCCTCAGCCTCCCAAGTTAGTTGGGACTATAGGCATCTGCCACAAGGCCCAGATATTTTTTTAGAGATGAGGTCTCACTTTTTCTCAGGCTGGTCTCAAACTCCTGAGCTCAAGAGATTGACCCACCTCGGCCTCCCAGAGTACTAGGATTACAGGTATGAGCCACTGCATCTGGCCTACTGGAAGGTTTTAAGTGGAAGAATATACACTCATAAGGATCACTCTGGGATGGGTACAGTGGCTCATGCCTGTGATCCTTGCACTTTGGAAGGCTGAGTTGGGAGGATCACTTGAACCCAGGAGTTTGAGATCAGACTGGACAATAACAAGACACTCTTGCATTACCTGTCTCTATAAACAAATTAGCCAGCATGGTGGTATGCCTCTGTAGTCCCAGATACTGGAGAGGCTAAGTCAGGAGAATCACTTGAGCCCAGGAGTTGGAGGCTGTAGTGAGGTATGATGATGCCACTGCACTCTAACCTGGGAAAAAGTGAGACCCCGTCTCAAACAAAAACCAAAAATCCAGATCACTTTAGCTGTTGGTTTAAGACTATAAACTCTGCTAGGTGCAGTGGCTCATGCCTGTAATCCTAGCACTCTGGGAGGCCGCGGCAGGTGGACCGCTTGAGCTCAGGAGTTCGAGACCAGCCTGAGGAAAAGCGAGATCCTGTCTCTAAAAATAGCCAGGAATGGGTGGCTCCTATGGCTCAGTGAGTAGGGCACCAGCCCCATATACGGAGGGTGGAGAGTTCGAACCCAGCTCCAGCCAAACTGCAAAAAAAAAATAAACAGGTGTTGTGGCAGGTGCCTGTAGTCTCAGCTACTTGGGAGGCTGAGGCAAGAGAGTCGCTTAAGCCCAAGAGTTTGAGGTTGCTGTGAGCTACAATGCCACAGCACTTTACCAAGGGTGACAAAATGAGACTCGGTCTCAAAAACAAAAACAGCCAAGCATTATGGCAAGGACCTGTAGTCCCAGCTACTCGGGAGGCTGAGGCAAGAGGATCACTTGCGCCCAAGGGTTTGAGGTTGCTGTGAGCTATGATAACACCATAGCATTCTATCAAGGGTGACAAAGTGAGACTCTGTCTCAAAAAGAAAAAAAAAAAAGGACTAAAAACTCTAGAGGTATCAAGGGCAGAAGCAGGAAGATGAGTTAGGAGGATACTTTGGATAATCCAGGCCAGAAAAGGCAGTAGCCTGGACTAAGGAGGTAGCAATAAAAAGGGTAAGTGATCAGATTATGCATGTGTATTGATTAATACTAATTTTATTTTATTTTGAGACAGAGTCATACTTTGTCACCCTTGGTAGAATGCCATGGCATCATCATAGCTCACAGCAACCTCAAACTCTTGGGCTCAACTGATCCTCCTCCCTC